AAGTTTGAAACCTGCACTCTCAAGCAACCTTATTAATTCATCTTGAAGTCGAAATAATTCTTCAGATGAATTTGCACCTCCCAGAATGTCATCCACATACGTTTGCTTTAATAAAGTATTCGAAGCCAACGGAAAAGATAATTTAGATTGATTAGCCAGTTCCACTAATGTCCGAGTTGCGAGGAATGGTGCACAGTTAGTTCCGTATGTCACCGTCAGTAGTTCAAGATGACGCAAAGGACCAGATGAGTCATCTCTCCAGATAATATTTTGAAGAAAAGTATCTTCAGCATTAATCCTAATACACCTATACATTTTTTGAATATCACTCGTCAAGACAAATTGGAATGCTCGAAACCTAACAATAATGTCAAACAATTCTGGTTGAACTGGACTTCCCTTAAGCATAATGTCATTCAGACTCAACCCAGAAGTAGTCTTCATTGACCCGTCGAAAACAACCCTATATTTCGTCGTCAACTTATCCTCACGCACAACACAATGATGAGGGAAATAGTACCTATTTTTTGTCAAAAGATCAACCTTGTTTGTGATATCTCTTGCGTGCCCAAGCTTCAAATATTCGTCGATGAATGCCTTATATTCTGCTTTCAAATTTGCATCCCTCTGAAACCTTTTTTCTAGAGAAAAGAAACGTTTCGTAGCTGCAGCAAGTGAATCACCTAGCATTGAAGCCTCATAGTCAGGTTTAATAGGCAATCGAACTTCGAAAACACCCGATTCCAATTTTTTAGTTGTGGCAGAATAAATTTCCTCACATTTAATGTCCTCAGGAGACCTGTGCCGTTTACTGGGGACCTCCTCTAACCTCCAAAATTGTGGAATTAACGAATCCAGATCTGAGTCCTGAGAAACCAATGATACGCTGAAATTCGAACTTCCCTGCTGAACTGTAGACGTCCATCCACCAACAACCCAACCTAAAGCACTGTTCTGTAATACAGGAAGGTTGTCCCCCAACCTTAAAATTCCCCCTGTAATGATGTCATAATAAATATCTGCCCCCAGCAGAATATCTATTTCAGCAGGAACATAAAATTTGGGATCTGCTAGAACTAAATCACCAGGAATTCCCAAGCTATCGATATCTAAATAGGACAATGGCAACGGACATGTAATTTTCCTCATAACCCCACAAATCAACGAAAATCTTGTCTTTGTATGCATTCGAGATTCTATAGTGACCTTCACAATATTTGAAATTTTGACACCAGTTTGACCAATCCCTGCAACCTCAATAGTTGCTGGACTTCCCTGTGTTCCTAATTTACTTGCAAACTTGGACGTAATGAACGAACTCTGCGAACCAGAATCTAGAAGCGCTCTTGCTTCAACCTTGGATCCATTGGAACAAACCAAATTTACTGCGGCTGTAGCCAGAATAACCTGTTTAGTGTTGTTGGATAACAAACATGGCACCCGTCTTGGACAATCTGCCTCGACCGAAGAAGTTGTCACAGAAGACGATGTAACAATTGGAAAATTGACATCCTGCAAATTAGTGTGATCATTATTTGCACCCAGTTGTGCTGTATTTACCTTACCTTGTCCTTGCTCCTTGTTGTGTAGCAAACTGTGGTGTTTGCCTTTACACTCCCTACAACCCAAAGATTTGCAATTATTTACCCGATGATTAGAACTCAAACAATTAAAACAAAGTCCCTTTTTAATTACAAAATCCCTTTTATCCTTTAATTTTAATTTAGCAAACTTATAACATTTGTACATTGGATGAAAACCCATTTCACAACATGCGCATTTGGCCTTATTTCCTGTAAAAGAATCAGAAGCAGAAGGATTTGTTGAATGAAAGCTATTTTTTAAAAACTTTTGTTTGTTGTCAGGTGCTGCTATTGCTTCAAGAGCCAAAGATCTTTTGTCTATAAAATCAAGAAACGCGTCAAAAGTGGGAAGTACCCCAGAATCCCTTTGTAATTTGTATGTTCTGTGCGTATCATAATCCAGTTTGGATGCTAAAATGTGAACTAAGATGAGATCCCATTTATCTACAGGAACCCCCAACGCCACCAATGCATTATAATTTTGCCTAACTTTAACTATGAAATCCCTTAGGGCGACTGAACTACCTTTTACAACTTGCGCTTCTAATAAAACCTTAATGTGGGTATTGATTGTAACCAATTTGTTATCGTATCGTTTACGCAACAAATCGATCGCAATATCATAATTAGCTTCAGTAATTTGTAGATCTTTTATCAGCAAAAGAGGTTCATCTTTTAAAACTGATTTAAGATATAAAAATTTTTGAACCTTGTTTAAATGAGCATCCGAATGTATGAGAGAAGAGAAAAGTTCTATAAACGACCGATAATCTTCATATTTTCCTGAAAAAGTAGGAATATTAATGTTTGGTAAGTTAACTTTAGGGGTTGGGATAGTTGATTGCACATTATTAGAACTACACCCAGAACCGCTCAAACCTTTTCTACTTGCATGCATATTATTATAATCTATTTTATTTTTAATAATTGTTTTAAGTTTACTGTGTAAAGAGGTGTACTGTAATTCAATTTTAACCCTATCCTCCTCCTGAGTACTATCCATTTCCTCCATTCTATCCTGAACAGTTTCATATTCTCCAAAAGATTTTACTAACATAGCCTCCCTAATTACAAATTCATTGATGTCAATAAGCATATCAGTTTCATTAGCCTTTGTATAATTCTCAAGTCTTGTTAATTTTGATTTTATTCTACTTCTTTTTTGAGTTAGAGCAGCAAATTCAGCTTGGGCTTCAGCCATTTTAATACAATGACTAATACTTTTCTTACAAAATGATATGCAAACTAACTAATATTGTACCAGAAGTACACTGAATGATTCTAAAATTCGCTAAAAGTCTGATAAATTCAAAATTGAAAGTAATAAAATTGAATGTACATGCACCCTAATACACAGTGAGAACACGAAATAACCTTTGAATACTGGCATAAAATAGAAAAGTTTTATACGACCTTATTTTCCGTTCAATAGTGACATGAAAACTTCCTTGTCTGAAGAAAATGCACCCTTCTTTCTTCTCCCTGTTTCCCTCGAAGATAAACTCCTTTTGTATTTGATGAAAATCCTTTTCAGTCGTTGAAAATCCTTTGTAACCTTTTTTCCTTTTGAACTTCCTGCGAAATGTCACTTTGGTATACTGTCACTTTTACCTGAATTTTCTGCTAAGTCCTTCAATGAAAAACCAACAAATCAGCTCCTGAAATCCAGCTCGAAGTCGACCAATGTTTTGTCCAGATATAAATATTCTTAATTTGGTTTTTTTTTTTGTATAGCTGGTTTGTTTGAAATTTCTTGAAGTGGGAAAGTTATTAGTAAACAGTTTAATTTGCAGAAAACAATTATTTATTGGTCTCCAAATGACACTTAAACAACAGTAGATTACTAAACTTTAATTTTACCTTTAACAATGGAAGTGAGGACAAGAAAACACTCGGGAGGAAGTTAGTTTCGACCTGATAACATTCTCCGGATGTTACTGGGTATGATTGTGGACTGTATCCTTATTTACTACATAAAAATGAGTAACACGAACCGAACTAACTTTTACGGAGAGCGAATTTTGATATATTGCTGCAATAAATTTGACAGCAATCTTGACAGACTTAACTCAAACTGACAAAACTGATATGACCGGTACTGGGTGGTACGGAATCAACAATAATTAGAACATGCTAAAACATGCAGCATAATTGTGAAGCCAACAATGCCCTTTCGACAATTACGGTGTTGCCGGATGAGGAAATGATGTCCTTAGGCGTTGTAGGAATGTGATTGTTGGAAGGTATGTTTTTATCTATTTTTATATATTAGGGAGGGAATAAAATATAGGGTTTTTGCTTAGTAAAATCTAGATGATGGGCTATTATGAAAGCGCCATTTGTGTGACGTTAAGTTCATTCTAAATGTGCAGACTTCGTAGACCCGGCTTGTCGAGGCCGTCTAGTGCTAGTCTTTGTGCTGTCAAAGCTAGTTATAATTTAATATAGTTCTGGAACTAAGGCTGAATACCTTTTCTAGGGCGTTGTTTTTGGTTGGTGTCTTGTTCCGGTGTCTGATGTTGATGTCTAAATCAAGTCTAGTGTTTGGTGCACAATGCACGTAGCTAATGGGTAGCAGTAGCAGCTGATGTAGCTTCTAGACGTTTCTCATCCTTCCAGGCTGGTTGCAGTTTCATTTTACCAGCAGGATTGAGTAATGTATAACTGCTCTATTTTATTTCTTACATAATGATTAGAATGATGCTCAAGAGTTGAATGTTACTAAGGTAGAGTGTTTTATTATATATCTAGTTACATATTTTCTTGGCATTGTCATGCTATAAATATAATCGTCTTGTGCCTGGTATACCATGGTATTTTAGGGGATGATTTTGCATATTTATATTTAAAGTTTAAATGTCTAGCGTAATTGATTAATTGCCCTTATGTAATCAATACGTTGACCTTATGTGAACACGACTTTATTATTTAGTGTAATATTTTGATGTCGATTATTATTGTTATACATTTATTTACATTTCAACTGTTACGTGTTATCTATTGCCCAAAGCTACATAGGTTTAGTAATTAAATATTGTCCTTTGTTTTGAACCTGACTTTTATTGATTCCTTCTGCTGAGAACAATGCCTAGGTCCAAGAGACCCATGTTTAGTAAGTACTACTTTCTTTATCATTATATTTTTGAGCTAGCTGGTGTTATAACTGGGAAATTTAGGTTATACTTTCATATCAACACTTTTTTGACCAAGTCAAAAAAGTAACTTTTTTGACCCGGACTGTAAGTGACACTTACAGTTCATAGACGTAGGTCAAAAAAGTCAGCTTACAGAATGGGTAGCACAAAAACTCTCTATTATTTCATCGTAATACGTACTCGATAACGTATCTATATAGTCTAAATGGTTGCCGACCTGGTTTACACATTTTTGAATATTTGATCAAATAAAAAAACTGCATTGTTATTAAAAATTTCAAATTTATTCAAAATCATGATTCGACGCTTGTTCCGTTTCCTCCGTTGTTTTAAAGTACCACCCCCAAAAGTTGCGTCTATTCCAATTATTTATTTTTCTTATCAAAGTAGTTAATCATACTCTCCTTGATCTCGTCACTTAGATCGGCTCCGGATAAACACTGAAAGGGGTATTCACTATCGTCAGTGTCATCGTCAAAAAAGGACTCGTAATCACTACAACTATTCCGAAAATTATCATTTTTTGACAATATATTAAGAAGTGAAGTAGCTTTTTGTGCTTCTTTTCTGAAACTTTTTGACTTGAAAATAAAAATCAGAGATGGGGTGCTATGAGAAGTTGCAGAGTAGTACGATGTGTTCGCAGAACTTGCTGAGTTGAGTATGCTAGAAGAACTTTTGGAGAGATCGATAATTTGGGTAATGTTGGTTTTAGGGTAGGATTCAACGAAGACTACCGATTTATCAGAAGAAATTTTCTTCAGTCGTTGCGGCTTTACTTCAACTCTGCCGGATTTGCTTTCAACGTATCCACTCGAAACTTTTGACGAATTTTGTTGGGTTTTTTTAGTTTTTTTGGCCTTACGGGAAACTGAAGGGTCATGCTTTCGCTTTCGTCCTTTTTTTCCTTTTCTCGATTTACTTCTGCGAGTGGTATTTCTAGAACCCTGAAAGAATATATCAATTGACTTTATTATATTATACTAAAAATTAAAGCCTACCTTTTTATTCATGATTTATTAAACGCCGATAGATATTCAATTTAGAAAGTGAAAATGTCTGTCAAATTTTTTTCAATTGTCAGCAATGGATTTGCAAGCTAATTCCGAAAGGTGTAAAAGGTAAAAATAAAACCAACTTATATTTTTCTATAATATAGCCAAAAACCACAAAAAGTGGAGTAAAAACTATTTTGAAATGTTTCTTATTATCCTGATTAGGAATCAGAAAAGTTTATGTGGATGCGCCACTGAAGCCGGCATCTTGGATCAGTGAACCAATAGTGCAACTTGTTTTTTTTTCTAGACAACTTCGCAATAGTTCATCTAACTATATCTTCAAACTATATTTTTTGTTTCCAATAGCATTGATGTTGGAATCTTATTTTGTCTGTGCATCAAACCTCAAGAAGTCAAGGAAAGAAATAAAAATGAAATAAAATAATGACAAGAGTATGAACAATAAGACATACTTATTTATTGAAAAATTGATTGCAAGCAAGTTAAATTTAAATTTCATAAAAATTGAGGGAATTAAGTAAAATATGAATTACCTAGAAGTCAGTTATCTACGACCAAGCAGCGTTGTGATAGTGTGGATCTGCTTCACATTTGTACTATTATGTAGGACTGATCTGCTCTATTGAACAGTAAGCTTTGTAAAACGAAACGCCGCGTTGCTTATTATTTCTAACTGTAGTAATGTACAGTGTGAGCAAGCTCTACATCGTGGTATAGGTAGAAAATGAGCAACTACACGTGTGGGAACTCCAATATTTAATGCAAGTACACAAACTATTTATGCTTTATGCATTGAAATATGTCCAAAATAGTTATTTCGTTTCATTTATCAAACGCAAATAACTGAATGCCTCAGCGACTTCTATTTGATGGCTGTGTTTATGTTCAATCTACACATAATGAGATTTTGCATTTTCCAAATATGTACAGAGCGGCCAGAAATCCTATCGTAAGAGGACGGAATATCTCACAAAATAGCAAAATAGAGTATTTCTGTTTTGACGTATAGGTATGGTATTATTTTCAATAATAAACACTTACGCTTATGACAGTATTCAATCCCTTAATATATAATAATATTTTTGGTTCAGCTAATCTTGTTTTTAAAAACTACACTTTCTCCATGTGTTATTGCGAATATGTCACTCAATTGTAGGAATAGTAAAATGATATTGTGGATAAATAAATTCTTATTGGGAATATTTAATTGATATTGCGATTATATAAGATGTAATTCAGGATAGTCGAATGTAATTGCGAACCTATCAAATGTTATTGAGAATAGTTAAGTGTAATTGCGAATATATTATATAAAATTGGGTTTGGGTATAATCAAATAAAATTCGGAATAAATCAAATGTAATTTAGCCCTTCCATTTCTCCACATCTGTATGACAGTTGTTCCTACTCATCCCTGTTTATCTTCAAGACATTTTTCGACAAACAATAAAAACCGTTTTTTCAGATTCTGGGCAGTTTGTTTATTTAAAAAATCAACATTTTCAATCAACTTTATTCGTCAGATATTATTAACAGGCTGAGTGAAAAAAATATTTGATAATGTCTTAGTCAGGGTCTTAATTATATTTGAATAATTCGCAATTATATTTAATTGATTCGCAATTACATTTGAATTATTCCTGATTTCATTTGATTATCCTCAATTGCATTTGATATATTCGCAATTACACTTGACCTTTCTCAAATTACATTTGATTTAGTCGCAATATCACTTGATTATTCGCTATTCGCAAAATTAATTGATGAATTCGCAATATAAATTGATAAATTCGCAATTACACATGAAAAATGTGTATTTATTTCATTAAAAACTTAGAAGTTACAACAAAAAATACTACACCTTTTCCATGTGTAATTGCGAATTTAGCCATTTATATTGCGAATTCATTAATTGATTCTGCGAATAGTCAAGTGATATTGCGACTATATCAAATGTAATCCGGAAAAGTTAAATAAAATTGCGATGATATCAAATGTAATTGAGAAAGGTTAAGTGTAATTGCGAATATATTATATTCAATTGGGGATAATCGAATGAAATTAGGAATATACATCAAATAATGTAGTTGCAAATGCGGTTGAGGTGAAAAAAGTGGGAGAAATGGAACTGAAATAAGAAATCAAGTACTTGAAAATGCTTGTTACTGAACTCCAAAGTAAGAACCGGCTGTTAGAAGAAAATACAGAATTACTTAAGAAAAAAATATCATTCCTACACGGTAAAACAACCCCATTTGCCACCTCATCCACCCAAACAGAGACAGAAACAGATTCAGAAAATATCCAGACCTGAACCAATCAGAGGTAGCAATCAACAAAAAAATAAAGACCTTGCTGTGGCCACACCTAAAGCATATGATTTTTTGTTTCGGGTTACGATCCGGAGACGAAAGCAGCAGATCTGGCAAAATATATAAAATCCACCCTAAAAATCAATGCAGACTGCGAGAAACTCAAAACAAAAAGGGACATGGTTAGAAGTTTTTTTAAATTCTCAATAACTTAGGACCAACAAGATCATTTTATGAATCCTGACTTGTGAGAGGTTGGAGTAATCATAAACCATTTTCAGAACCTACGACGACGCTCTCATTAGAGGACCGGAGATTGAAAAATAAAACAAATATGACTCTGACTAGTGGTAGTAGCGTAAATACTCCCACCTAAATATCCGCTCATTAAGAAACAAAGTAGCAAAGCTAGAGATATTACTTGCTAATAATCACCAAGGGGTACAAATGTGGTTTGTTTAACTGAACACCATCTGCAACAGGATGAAATAGAATGTCTCCATGTAGAGAACTTCAACGTTTCTTCATACTTCAGCAGGAGCCAAATGAAACATGGTGGGGTGTTGATCCTAGCAAAGCCTGAACTGAATTCTCAGAGTGTGGAACCTGTGGTCAGGATGTCTCTGAAATTCCATTGTGAACTAGCCGCTGTGGAGGTCAAACAGTTCAAGACAGTAATTTTGACTGTATACAGGGTGACTGGTAAGTGGACGTATTCCTTTGAGGAGATGACATTAGAGCCTATTTGCTACCGATTAAACACTATTTACCTCTATACCATTCTTAACGGTTTTCGCGATATTTTCATTTTTCTAATTTTTATAAAATTCACTACCTTATGAGGCAAATATTTAAAATTAACGAAAATAATAAGGACCTTTCTGAAAGTCGTGTTTTAAATTTTAAGCTGACACACTGACAAAAATATCAGCATTGAAAATTATCGAAACACTAATGTTAACTATTGAGTTATTGCGGTTTAAACTTAACTTTTCTTGTTAAGTTTCTAACTAATGACTTATTTAACCCTAAAAATATCGAAAATTTCATAGTACTTCAAACGTACAAATAATTGGCAAAAGTACTCCATTTTATTGTCTCCAAGATAAGGTACATTATTTCAGAATTAGCTTTTTGCTTTCTTGTTAAATAAATTATTTTTATTTTAAGGAGAGACGATATAATTTTCAACAGAATTCTAATTTATACCTGTTTTGGATATCAAGTGTTGCAATAAAAATTTTATCAAATTTTTTAGTAGCTAATAGTAATAGTTTTTAGTAAAGAAGTAATTATTATTTTCTGCTTGAAAATTTTGAAATTTTCATAATAAATTACTGGCACTCTATGGCCAAGCATTGTTGAATGCATTCTCTTTCAAATAGTTCACAATTGGCACCTAATTTTTTCGTTCCATAATAAAACAATAATTACCATTTGAAAAAATGTATTTCCTATCATAATAAAAAAAACAACATTCTCAAAATGAAATGGAAAAACTTTTTGATACAATTTAATCAATAACTCATTAATTTTCAAAATGACTAACCCCATTCCTTATGCAATTACGAGCCCGTCTTCGTATTTCTGTCCTGGTTACTCGATTTGAAAAGTTCTGTCGCAATATCGCAACAGGAGTTAAATCAGGGCTCCTAACAGGCCATGGTATGGGTCCACCTCTTCCAATCCATCTATTCGGAATCCTTTGGTCTAAGAGTGCCCTTATTGTTAGACGATAGTGTGCAGGACATCCGTCAAGCTGGAAGATCATCTGTTTGCCTGTTCGCTAAAGGGACATCTTGTAGTAGCTCATACAAGTTGTTACGTGAAAATTCTTCATAATTTTCACCGTTAAGGTTATCAGGTAAAAAATCAAAATTTGTTATTCCTTCTCTAATATTGTAGCATCCTCAACATCCGAATTCAGAATAAATCTGCAGAACTGAATTCTGCGAATTAATGGTTTCTTTATGCTGAAAAATTTCGAAAACTTCATAAAGTGTGTTTTTTTTTAAAAGATAATTCCCCAAGTCAAAAATTTAGTAACTATGTTGGCAACACAAGCCTTTTCTACATGAAAAATTTGAAAGCATTGACAATTTTACATTGTATTGCCAACATAATGTCAGTTTGACTTTTATCTTTAAAAAAAAAAACGCACTTTAGTCCACCAAACGTACAAATGATTGTTAAAAATTCTCTATTTTATTGTCTTTAAAATAAGGTTGTTTTATTGTTGATTTCATAATTTTCATTTGTAGGAGTAACGGTTTTATTCTCGCATTTAGAAGAATTGTAAGTTCAGACTAAGTAAGCAACATTATTTTCCAGTCTTTTCTTATTGCAATTTGGTGTGATACTCGCCAATCATGTTGATATTTATCAACAGGTATACCATACGCATTTTTCCATTTTTTGAATTAATAATAATAAACAATAACAAAATTTAGTTTCAGTTTTTCGTCCAAAGTTTTGATTTAAATAGTTCTGATGATAGTCTTTCGCTGTTAACTTCTATCTAAAATGGCAACGTTTAGCTATGCTGAATATGCGGACATTTTATTTATTTATGGTTTTTCCAATGGAAATGCAGCTGAAGCTCAAAGAGAATATGTACGTCGCTTCCCAAATAGGCGCATTCCACATGTTAGTGTGTTTGGTGCAACTTACCGTCGCATTTCAGAATCTGGCAGC